TTATTTATCATGATGTCTAGCAAAATATGGCTAATCAATTCAAGGATAATTCCAGAACATTCCAGGTAAAAATTGTAATTTTTCCAGGATTTTTCCCATCGATTAATTTTCATCAATTTGCACATTATTATATGCTTTATATTTAAGTTAGGATTCTATTGGATTGTCCGGAAAGTTCGTGCCGATTAAAATTTAAATTTTAATATACATTTATTAAATTAAAATTTTCTGCGTTTCAATTTTCCTTTAACATCGGCATGAACTTCCCATAAGAATGCATTAAAACGCTAACAAATTTGGAACAATATTATTTATTGCTTTATAAATAATATCAAACATTCCGTCAACACAAACAATTTGTCTACTATTTATGTTCTATTTTAGATATTAAATTCAAGTTTCTCATTTTCTATTCGTAATTTATTGCATCTTTAAAGCGTGATCTAGTTGGTAAAGTATCAAGTACCTAAATCTAAAAATACTTCATAAGACACAACGGATCTCCCACTAAATAAAAATCACAAATAAAATATTCAGAATCATAAGAAAATTATGTTTATTAAAATTTTAATCAAATTAATAACAATTTTAAACGTTAAAGAGATCAATGTGTCGAGACATATCCGATCTAGCTCATGCCCTGACCTAGCCAGGTTAAAAGAGGACTTATACCCAAACACAATTTTTCTTCTTTTTTTTTTCTTTTTTCACGCTCTGATTTTTTTATAAAGAATGATAAATTCTAGACAAGTCCTGAAATTTCAGGAATTTTCTAAGAATTTTCCAGTATAAAATATATAAAATATATAAAATATATAAAATACAGTATAATTCCAAGATTCAAGGATATTCAAGGACCGTTGGATACCAAATTTGTTTATGCACAAACTTTAGTATTCTACAATGCCGATAACAATCTTCCAATTTAATCTTCCAAGTGAGAATTCAGACGATATTCAATTTTTGGCAAAGTACCGATCCTGTACTGAAAAATGAGTTTCCAATTTCAATATCATTGTTTCAATCATATCATTGTTTTTTAAATACTGGTCCAGTATTTAAAAAACAATGATATGGTACTAGTCCAATGTGTTGATCAATATTGAATAGTAGTATTGATAGTACATTTTCATTACATTTTCGATGTTCTGTACCCAAATTCAATGTATCAAATGTCCAATATTGAGACAGTACACCGCCAATATATTTGTATCTGTATTTAATAGTCATTCCGTACTGTAATAATACTATATTATAAGATCTTGACTCATTGCTCATCATCCCATTATTCCTTTTAGAATCATATCTTGTATATTAACATATAAAAATTAGACCAGTAACCTCGCCGATAGTCAATTCCTACTAGGGCTTTTATTATTTTTATATATATTTAAAGAAAAACAGAAATTTAAAAATATGACCTAACAAATACCTGTTCATCTTTTTTTAAAATTTTAAAAGTCAATGTTTTTTCCCGGAATACATTTGAATATACTTATCCGCATGTAACAATTATATCATATCAGCGACATATGCCTAAAAGAATGCGGAACATATTGATGCGTTGTCATTATTCTCGTTATACGAAATATATTTAACAATGAGCTACGACAAATGGCAAAACAGGTGTGTACCATATTCGTTGTCAATGTTTAACAAATAAATTGTTTGCTCAGCGGCACAGTATAAATATGCTACTCGACGCAAGCATTTACAGTGCAAGATTAGCAGCGCAAGATTGCAATATGAGACTATCAGTGGTGTTCTTGATCTTGACGATTGTGGTGTGTGCCCTGTTCCAGGAATCCGTAAGTTTTAATTCAAACATGAGCATTTATCAATGAATTTTCGAAAAATAACGATGTTCTCTATTCTGTGCGAAGGAATCCTTCTTTTTTAAAACAAAATCAAGGAAATGTAAAAAGTGTTGTTGTAAACGCCGATGCCGTAAAACAACTACCACCACCACCACCACCACCACCACCACTACCACCACCCCAGCCACAGGTAGAAAAAGACGCGACATCATGGACTCAATTCCATTTGAATTCGAAAATTTAATCCAGAATGGAAATTACAACAAATTTGAAAATTCAACTTTAGATGGAATCTATGATAAAATGTCAAAACTTTATTAGAAAATTATATAACTATAATTACACTATTCAATAAGATAAACTGTTACTTAGAGTAGTATCTAAATTGTCCATGTAAACAAATCTAAATTGAATAGCAATAAAGATGTATCAAACCCTTAAATATGGATAAATATAATTTCTCAAACCTTTCGTTAAAAAACTAATTACAAATATTCGTACACTGTTGGAAAAAATATGTCAAATTTTACATAAATCGCACATCTCAAATGGTTCGTAATTTTTGAGTTAATTTAACACAAGATGAATATGTTGGGTTATACACAAATATTATGAGAGAGAATAAATACAAAGAGGTAATATTATTACGATTTGTAAACAAACCATGAAAGCATTTTTTTTTTTCAGAAAATTAACATTTGATATGTTAAATCAATCTACATTTTATTCATTTATCTCAGAATTTACGTTTTAGAGCATTATTTTTATGTTATTTTACTTATTCATTCAAATTTTTATGTTATTTTACTTATTCATGCAAATTTTTTAGAGTAAAATTTCACTTCACAAAAAATGATAGTTGCGTCAGTCGGGTAAGAGTGAATTTTACATCACTTAAAAAATAAATTTCCTAAAAGGGATCAACTTTAATGATTAATATCTTGCTTCGTGAGGCAGAGCAATGCTTTTTTTCTGTCAAATTCGTTTGTTTTATGCAAAAACGTATCAAATGAGCCTAATTTCGTCAGATTTGATGTAAACTTAACATTTACTTTCAGTCTCTCTTCTCAAAGAGTCAAATTATTCACTCTCTACAAATATTGAAATTTGATTCTCGTTTGAAGTGATTCTTCACTCTCTAAGAATGATTCTTCATTCTCTAAAAATGAAAATTTCACACCTACCAAACTTCGAGAGTAAAATTTCACTCTCAAAAATTTAGAATGCAAATTTTGTCATTTGGATATTAAGAAATGTTAAATACCAATTTAACATAAAATCTTTAAATAATGTAATCATATTATGTTGAATTACACTCGAATATGTGTTAAAAAATTTAACACAAGTTATTAACAAGAACATGAGTGGACGTTTCCAACAAATATACAATTTTTTTACTGTGTACATGTTTAGATCTTCACATTGATGCGCTCGAACTGGTTAATTGACGCTAGACAGATGCATACTTGCTTTTACCGTTCTGTTAACCGTATCAATTCTACGCGCTCGGCTACGCAAACAAACCACGTATTTTCGGATGTTGACTCAGTGTGGAAATGTACATCGAAGAAATATTTGTCTTGATTCCATATATCTACTCGATGTATCTTGAATGCAGAATTTCTTCATAATAAGGATTTTCTTCACACTATTTTTTTTCAGATTTGATTAGAAAAGTAAAATCGTTGTAATTATTGTCTTCTACATTACTGTAAACAGTAAGATTTTTGGATTAGAGTGACTCCAAATTATTTCTATTTACTTTTATACTTCTATTCAAAATACTCGATCTATCAGTAATTCACAGATGTAAAAAGATGAGTTATAATTCTAAATGATCATAACATCCGACTTCGTTTACATCTAATAAGACAAGAATAACTACACCACAATACTTAATATTTATATATAATCCATGTCGGCATACAAGTGCCTCGATTAATGGGTCCTAGATTTATTTGCTGCACAGGGGAGCAATTTTATTTCTATTCTCGAGCTCGCGCGATTTAAGTGCAGATTTCCGGTGAGTCGCGCGAGATAACGTCATGCGAGAAGAAGTTCCGCTTCACGATCGCCCAACGAAAAGGAAACATAAAGAGGGGCTTTTCTTCCCGCGCGCGCTCGTATATCATGGTCTCGTAATAATATCTAGTCGCTTCCGATCGCAAGCACCGGCGTGTAACACCGTCACATACCACGTGCGTCGTGATAATTCTTTTCTAGAATGCTATCGTGATTATTTATTGTTTATCGCATTGGATTTTGCTTCAAAAATATTTTCGAAGTTAGGAAAGCTTTGACATATCTAACAAAAATCTATATTACAAAATATTAGATGATTTCATCTTTAACATTATACTTATTGTATTGTCAAATTAATTATATCGTATTGTATATTCTCAGATATTATATCAATAATAAAGACAATGTCTTTATTATTGATATAATATCTGTT